GGAAGAAGGCAGTGAGTCAGTCGCCATAGCTCTCCTCTCCGAGATGGACTCCGGTTAGACTCGTCCCGGTAAGCCACAGTCAAGTGGCAATACACATTAATAGAAATGGGTTGAAACAATATGTAAGAGCTAGCCAATAAGAGGTTATAACTAATGGGCCAAGCAGTGTTTAAATGAATACAGTTTCCGTGTAATTATTTCGGATAAAGCTAGCCTGGAGCCAGGTGGCGGGACACAGCCCGCCGCTCCTTTTACAGTTTTGTTTTGTTTTTTTAAGTTTTAAAACAAATGTTCAAGTCAAACATCACTATTTAGGCAGGTGGATTTTTCAGTAAATGGCATATAATGTGCGAAACTAATCAGGAACAAGAGGACACAGACAGAAGCTGTACAGGCACGGAGTGATCTGGATGTGTCACAGATGCGGTAGTGGTCATTTCACCACGATGCTGGTCTACTTCAGGACACTCATCAAATTCTATTTTTCTTAGAAGTCATACATTCAGTATTGTTTATTCTGTAGGAAGATTAAAAACTGTATCTAACAACTGTCAATGTTGCTGTTTCCTCAAAATGCCTGGTAATTGGGTGTTGGCGGAGATTGCTTGTTCATTCCCGGCCACCCAAACCTGAAATAAGCACACAGAAACTGTATTAATTAAAATACTGCTTGGCCTGTTAGCTTAGGCATATTCCTGGCTAACTCTTATATCTTAAATTAACCCTTTTCAATTAATTTGTGTATCACCATGTGGTTGTGGCCTACTGGTAAGTTTCTGTCCAGTGTCCGTTTCCTGCATCGGCTACACGGCATCTCTCCGACTCGACCGACTCTCTCTATATATCTTTTCCGGCCTGGCTATATTCTATTAAGTCATTGGCTGAAAGCAGCTTCTTTATTAACCAATGGCAATAAAACATAGTCATAGCATACAGAGGGAATCCCACATCAATTGGGGAACTGAATTCAAAGGAATGTTTCTACCACTTTCCCAGAACAATGGAATATCTAAAAAGGTTCAGTTATTGAAAAACCCAGTAATTTATATGTACACAAATCTGTATTATTGAACCTACTGCACTTGCTTCAAAGCCATGAAGATATGATTAATAAAATAATTTTAATAATTAAAAAATCCTTGACCTTGGAGTAGTTTTCATTTTCCTAACCAATATAAATTAGAATATACAACCTCCACAACATGGATGCATTACAAAATAAGTTGTTAAAAAGGAATACTAGCATTCCAAAAGAATGGGAATAACTGTCTTAAGGTCTTTCAGATTCCACATACAGCATGGCAGAGGGAGAGAAATAACTTGGTTTTCATTCCTGATTGTTCTAACTAGTAATCAAACCATTAATAAGATCTTTCCTACAAGTTTCAATTTCTTCACTTAAAAAAAGAATAAATAAATAAATAAATAAATAAATAAAAATAAGTAAAACTGGGGCTAGAAGATGGCTCAAAGGTAAAGAGCACTGGCTACTCTTCCAAAGGTCCTGAGTTCAATTCCCAGCAACCACATGGTGGCTCACAACCATCTATGAGACCTGGTGCCCTCTTCTGGTGGGCAGGCATACATGCAGACAGAACACTGTATACATAATAAATAAATAATTTTAAAAAAGAAATGTTGAAAATTAAAGATATTGCTTTTCACTATTGCTTTAAAAAAACTGAATCTATATCTCATAACCACTATATTAAGAGTTATTAGATGATAAAATCAGGATTAAAAATTAATTTATAAAATACAGTATACAAACATTATCATACAGTAGAATGCAGGGAGGTAATCTGCAAAAAAATGGTTAAGTTTTAACAAGTCTATAAAGGAACTTGATAGCCAAGGCAGACTTGATTCCACAGGAAATAATCATCCACAGATTTTACTAAGAAAGAGAAAAATACAGGTGGGTGTTGTACTTATGTGTGTGTATATATGTATATATTTACATATTTATACTATATATATGTGTATATGGAGTATATATATATATACTATACTATATATATATATATATGGAGTGGGGGTAGAAGAAATGTAGCAAGTGCAAGGTTTGATCACTAGTATTGCAAAAGAGAATTGTTAAACGTTCAGTGAGATCATGAATATGCCTACAGAGAAATCTACAGTGCTGAGGAAAGGTATATAGTACAAGAAGCAGAAACTATGAAACAATCCAGTTGAAAGATAAGATTTTGTGCTCCAGTCTACATAGCAAGACAAGAAAGAAACAGCAGACTCACAGTCCGCCGAAGGCTCTGAAAAGCTACACAGGACTGAGTGGAAGGACACAAACAAAGCGGAAGGAAAACAGAATCCCAAAATAAAGAAAAGCTTATTTTTCTATCTCATTACCGGAAAGGGTTAAGTTTAGATGTATTAAATCTGAACTATCAATCTGGCGTGGTGGTGCATACCTTTATTCTAGTACTCTGGAGGATCTCTGTGAGTTTGAGGCCAGCCTGGTCTCCAGAGCGATTCCAAGACAGGAAAGGGCTATAGAGAGAAACCCTGTAATAGGAGCAGCAGGCCACTTCTGGTTGCCTGGCTCCCAGCCCCCTGGCCAGCTAGCTTATACCCCGAAATAACAACACACAAATTGTATTCATTTAAACACTGCCTAGCCCGTTATCTGTAGCCTCTTATTGGCTAGCTCTCACATATTGATTCAATCCATTTCTAATAATCTGTGAGGCACCACAAGGTCGTGGGTTACGAGGAAAGATTCAGCATGTATGACCTGGCAGCTTCATGGTGGGCGGCTCGCTCTGACCCTGTTTTCTTCCTCCCAGAATTCAGTTCTGTCTACCTCGCCTACCTATGTTCTGATCTATCAGGCCAAGCAGTTTCTTTATTAATTAACCAATGAAAGCAACAGATAGATAGAAGACTCTCCTACATCAAAACCCTGTCTTGAAAAGAAAATGGTATCCAAAAGACTTATGAAATCTTAGAAATGTGTGTACCCACAGCAGTGCTGAGTTAGGTGTTTAATGTATCTTAACATCAAAGAATAAGAAAGCGCTGAGTAATAAATCCCAAGTTATTTAAATCAAAGGAGTAGGAAGAAGAGGAATAAAGGAATAAAAGACATCTGAAGATGACAATTTATTATAAATGTTGAACTAGGCATGATAGCGCACACCTTTAATCCCAGCACTCGGGAGGCAGGCAGATCTATGTGCGTTCTAGACCAGCTTTTTGTTGTTGGTGGTTGTTTTTTGTTTGTTTGTTTGTTTGTTTGTTTTGGACAGAGGGTTTCTCTGTGTAGCCCTGAATGTTCTAGAACTCTGTAAACCAGAATGGACTCAAACTCATAGATTCACCTGCTTCTGTCTCCTGAGTGATGGAATTAAAGGTGTGTGCCACCACTGCCTTGCCTGATGTGATTTTATGTTTATAAAAATATGGTTTTCCTATTATTAAAGTATATTTTAATTACATATTATATATAATGTATATGTGTGTGTGTGCGCCTTTTAGAGTCTCCACCAAGTTGAATGCATCTGAGTGCCATATTAGATATTTGGAAGTAAGGCAGAAACAGCTGAAGGCACTAAGACAAAGAATACCACAACTTAAAGACAAATTCCTGGTGAGAAGGGAGATGTTTGTACTGCTGATTAGTCAGCAGATGCTTACCAGAATGCCTAGAGGTTTTAACAGCAGAATCCCTACCCCTTAAAGTTACATAAAAATGGTAAAAGAAGCCTCAGCTCTTAACAGCTTCCTGCTCACATGCCAACTTCAAGGGGTCAACATCTAGCTAACCCTACTTCTTTAAACAATTCTCTTTATAGTGCAATGCAATAACTAATTCCCTATTGTCTCTTATGGCCAGAAGAAGATTTAATCTACTATATTCAGAATATTATGTTCAAAGTAACAATGAAATATGACTTTTCTCAAATAGCACATTTTAATCACATGCCAGTAGAATTTAGATGCCAGGTTTGCTTTCCAGAAGCCCTCATTAGCAGTAACAGTGGCCTGCAATGCTGCATTAGCAACATATCTCAAACTTCAAGCTTAAACTGTGAAACCCTGTGTTTAATTCTGTGAGCAAGAAGTAATTCTAGTAACTCATCATCTTACAAGTCAGAATCCTGGAAATCATCCCAGAATTTCTTTGCTCTAACCTCCAATTAATTATTTACTAGTTAAATGCCTCTTCCAAACAGTCCATGGGCTGGAGAGAGCGGAGCTGTTAAAGAGTACTTGCTCTTGCAGAGAACCCAAGCCACCTGTAACGCCAGTTTTAAGGATCCAACACTCTCTTCTGACCTCCAAGGGCATCAGACACAGAGTGCACAGACATACATACAAGCAAAACACCAATACACATAACCACCCCCCCCCCAGTTGTTCTTCTTTTGTTTTTTAAATACCACTACCACCATTATTTCTTGTCTAAGTATTTTTCTCTGTGAAGTCCTGGCTGTCCTGAAACTCAAGCTGCAGACCAGGGCGGACTCAAACACACAGAGATCCGCCTGCCTCTGCCTCCTGAGTGCTAGGATTAAAGGCACGCGCCACCACCGCCCAGCCCTTAACTGTGTTTGCCTCAAACTCTAATGATCAGATTTCAAATTGACTTTCTGTATTTAGCATCTATAAAAGCAGTCCTTCCGGAAGACTGCAAAAAGAACACATCAATGGAAAACCAAAGACACAGGCCTTCTCAAGGAGCCTTTGTATCTGCAGCAGCAGATGCCCGATGAGAAAGTGCCTGCAGTGCCTAGAAATGCCAGTCTGTCCCCACTGCCCCTGAAACCCATGCACGATAAACAGTCTCAAGTTCCTAGAAGCAGAACAACAGCAAAGCCTCTGCCCCAAAATCCTTCACAAAACCCTACCTTCAAATATAAAACAATGCAAAAACAAACCTATCTACATATTTACATTGAGTTTCTGATACAGGCTTTCAGGAGGCAAAAATAACCAATTTAGCGTTTTTGCTATAATCTAAATGTACAATAAAATGTTACCTGAGGAGAGTCAAAAGGATATCGACTACTAAACTTAAACAGAAGTTGAAACTTTTCTCCTTCATATAAGGTACCTGGTGCACCTTCCATGTCTACGATCCACCTAGGACAGGAAAAAGACAAACAGAAAGGGAACAAATTTAAAACTTAAAAAGGATTGGGGTAAAGGGAAAACAAGAGGTCACTGGGATGCCAGGCATAGGCCAAAGTAACCCATGTGTATGGTGCGCTTCACCCAACAACTCTCACGCTGTGTTTCTTTTTTAATTCATATTGTTATGTATATTATGTGTTTGAATAAATGTATTATTGTATGGGGGACATGCACAACCACAGCATACACGTAGAAGTCAGAAGACAGCTCTGTGGAACTGATCCTTTCCTTCCACCTCTACATGGGCTCCGGGGTTTGAATTCGGTAGTAACTGATGACTCCCTTCTGCTTCACACCTAGGCTATCTTGTTTCTGGTTGACTGTGTGGGTGTGCCACATGCCCATGGAGCCCAGGGCAACAGATCCCCTTGTGGGTCACCAGTGACATTAATGCTGGGACATAAACTAGGGAACTCTGAGAGCAACAACCCCCTTAACTGCTGAGCTCTCTCCCCAACTCCAGAGCAGGTTCTCAGCACTTCCATAACCTTCTGTGACACTTGAGATTAAAGGAATTAGGTCAAGGTCGGAGCTTGCAACCCGGGTCTGAAGCAAACTACAAATAAACCCCCACTTCCATGGGCTAATACCAGAGTCTATATTGTGTTCTTCCTTTTAGACCACACCATCTTATTTTCTTTCAAAAGACTACTTTCTACAGTAACTAAATTGTTCTAGACAACATCAAGCTCATTAACTGCCTTCCTGATTAGTGTTCCTACAGAGAACTCCCTGATCAGTAGCTAAAGAAGACTCAACAGAAGCTAAGCTGATCCCCATCCATCTACTCTGAAGGTTACAAGCAATGTTCTCTGCTGCTGTTCCTCGCTCGCTCACTTTCAACATTTTAATAAAGCACATACAGATTTCTGTGACATCTACTGTAAGCTTGTTTTTCATGTGTAACCATCAAGAACATAAATGTTTGTACTGATATCCTGTAACTATCGCTAGTCTTTAGAAGAGAAAATAGAAGATTAAAAACAGAAACGATAATAGGGGAGCAGTTAGAATGAGTCTTTAATTATAGCTGTCACATGTAACTGTAGTTGGCCAAATTCTTTAACCTCATGCTTCTCAGGCACAAAAATGTTACCTTAAATATAGGAAAACTGAGTTGAGGGAACATCTCAGCAGTAAAGCACTTGTGTATCATGATCAAGAGATACTGGGTTTGATGCCCAGTACTGCCAGCCAATATCATTCACCCACCCATCTGTCCAGGAAAACAGGGAATACTATGGTAAGGGTCTACTCATGTCTTGTGTAGTATGGAACTAGGAATGTATAAAATAACAGCATGCTCTGGGCTTAGTCTGTGAAAGAAATTTACTAAAGTACAGAAACCCTTAAAATATGAAAATTCAATTTCAGGATGCATGCTGAGTACCACAAGATACTGTTCAGAGAGCAAAATGACCCTATATAAGTAGAAAACCTAGTGCATTTCTACTGTAAGAGCTAGTACACAGTAAATTCAATACAACACAAAGCACCTCTGGGGTACACAGTTCAGTGGCAGAGTCCTTGAAAAGCTTATTAAATATCCTGGGTTCAATAGCCTGTCTCTCCCTCCCTCCCTCTTTCCCTCTCTCATTAAAAACAAAAACAAAACAAAAAGGAATAGGTCATTCTCAGCTTCAAAATTCATTTTCTCCCACCCACCCACATCTCTACTCCCCAGAGTGATAATCCAAAGAGAGAGCTGCCTGGTGCACCTTCATTTTCTTTATGTAACAAATCTAAAGACTGACAAACACAACCAATTTACACACGACATGCAGAGCAGTCTTTAAATAACCGCAAAGCAAACATCATTAGTCATGCAACATCTGCATCAAATAGGTCAATGACATGATTTCTAATATTTTGTGTGATACATTTTTAATCTTTATTATTTAAAAAAGTAATATATGCTTACTAAATTTAAAAAATAATGCCGGGCAGTGGTTGCTCACGCCTTTAATCCCAGCACAGAGGATCTCTGTGAGTTTGAGGCCAGCCTGGTATACAGAGTGAGTTCCAAGACAGCAGGACTATTTCACAGAGAAACGCTAACTTGAAAAGCCAAAATAATAACAACAACAACAAAATAAAAATTCAGGAATAAGCCACTATTACATTTTGGGGGAATATTTTATTTTTATTATTTTGCAGTTTACTACATCACTGATGATAAGAAACAGCAATTTAGTGCATTTTAAAAAGATTTATTTTTTTATTACTTATACAGTGTTCTGCCCGCACACAAGAAGGCACCAGATCTCATTTATAGATGGTTGTGAGCCACCATGTGGTTACTGGGAATTGAACTCAGGACCTTTGAAAGAGCAGCCAGAGCTCTTAACCACTGAGCCATTTCTCTATCCTTACTATAGGCACATTTAAATTACACATTTTTCAGCTTTATTAATAATTATTGTGCATGTACACTATGATGTGTGGTTATGGGTATGCAGCCATGGTATGGGGTGATGGTCAGGGGACAACTTTGTGGAGCTGGTTCTCACCTTTCCCCTTCACACGAGTTCTGAAGATCAAACTCAGACTACCAGGCTCGTTCAGCAAACACCTTTAGCATCTGAACCAGCTCACCAGCCCCAATCATACACATTGAACCATTAGCTAGTATCTAATCATGAGCAAGAGGTCTCAGAGTAAGGATGTAATGTAGAAGTAAACAGGCCTTTCTTCATTGAGTCTCGACTCTTGAATTTCTGTAACTCTTACTCTTCAAAAATGAATGGTTTGAATTTGATATTTTATACATATTCTGGCTTCTAATAAAAGAAATTGCTATCTATTCCATTCAAGAGGAAGCTGGGTTTTGTGGACTAAGACAAGCAGCATACAAATGTTTTTATTTGGGGCATGACTTATTCTTTAGGCGGAGATCTCACCAGGTTGTCCAGAGTGCTGTCCTGAACTCACAGGCTGATCCTCCTACCTCAGCCTCCTGAAGACTATAGGTACCACTGCACCCAGCCAAAATGGTCTTCTACAGAATTTTCAAAGTCATGAATTATGACTATAAAAAATTTCTACCTTACAAACTAACTACAAACTGTAAGTGATAACATTTTAATGTCATCTTTCTCTAATGTTGACATGTACAGTTTTCAACTCAGTATTACAACCAGAGATACTAAAAAAAAGTATGGCTTGTCCCAGGTAGCCCTCTTCGTATCTTGGTTCTGCAGCAGCACAGCAGGGGTGTTTAACTGACTACGCCTGAAGCATGGTGTGCTGCAGTCTGAAGGGAGAGCACAGGCTCAGCACATAAGAGGTGGCTCACACCTACCTATAAGACCAGCAGTCTAGAGACTACGGCTAGTCTGAGCCACAGCAGAAATGATAAATAAATAGATAGATAATAAGGAACATGCAAAACACAAGGATTCTTTTTTAAAAAAAAAAAAAGAAAGCTTTACAAATTACACAACAGTAAGCCTGAGATGACACTGTAAGGTTAAAAATGAATTATTTATATAATACATGTAGTAAGATCTCTATTATATTTACTTAGTGGTATAACAGAATACAATGAAATATGAAAATAGGTTTTTAAAAACTGAGCACATAATTATACAGTATAGGTAAGAAGACCTTTAAACCTCAATACTCACTGTGTAATTGAATTCTGAACGCTCTTTTCATTTAACGTCATCCCAGGAGGTGGGTCATTTTGCAAAGCCAACAGTTCTTTTTGTAGTCGTTTCTAGAAAATATCAATAGTATTTTATACTTTTATCACCTTTCCTCTACACAGTCTAAAATTGGTTATTAAATTTCTTTCCAGTGCTTGAACCTCTCTCTTTCTTTACAGGGCCCTTGACTCTCTACATAACATCTACACTCAATCCTTGAACTATGGTCTGCCCTACCATTCACAGCCAGGGTCGCAGAGTCCCAATCCCACAGTGCTGCTGTAAGCAGTTCTGACAGGCAGCCATCAGATACAGCCCCTTCTTCACAGTTTGTCTCTGTGGTACAGAGCTTCAGCAGTGGGCTAAAGAGCCACTACTCAGAACGCTTCCTTTGCAGCTTTCAAATAACCACAGTGCCTCTAACTATGGCGATAGAGAAGCTTTCCCGGGAAATTATGAAAGTACCTTATTACACAAAAGTCTTCTGAAAAACAACTTAAAGTCAACTCCCAATGTAATTCTGTAATCATCTTCTAAGCAGGGTCACCTAACCATGACTCTAAACGGCTTCATGCTTTGCACTTTCTGCCTGTACAGCGTCACCGCTTCCCTTGTCATCAACAGACACCCTTTTTGGTGTACAAAGAGCTGAACAGAAGCCACAGAACGGTCAGTGTATGGAGAGAGTACTCGACGGCCTGTGCAAGGCTCTGTGCTTAATCCTCAGCGCTACAAAAAAACCCAACTAATGCTATTAAAATTGTATGCAAGATTATAAAGATCCTTTAAAACCACGTTTTATTATTATTTTATTTGAGCTGGAACCCTAACTCCGGTCCTCTGGAAGATCAGTAAGCTACTGACCCATCTCTCCAGCCCCACATCGCTTATTTTATGTATTTATTATTTAAGGGTATGTGTGAGTGCACACATGTGGCAGTCAGAGGACAACTTGAGGGAGTCATTTCTCCTTTTACCATGTGGGTCCTGGAGATGGAACTCAGGTTGTCAAGGCTTTGCGATTTACTCACTGAGCCATCTCATCAGCTTCTTAATTTCTTTGATTTTTGTTTTTATTGTTTTATTTTATGTGTATAAATATTTGCCTACATATATGCATGTATACCATATCATCGTGCATGTCCGGTACCCTTGGAAGTCAGAAGAGGGCATCCAGTACCCTGGCCCTGTGGTCAGAGATGCTTGGGAACCACCATGTTGGTACTGGGAACTGAAACAGGTCCTCTGCAAAAGCAACAAATGCTCTTCCCGGCTGAGCCACTCCTCCAGCCCCTAATAGCTAATTCTTTAAGGGGAAAAAAAAGAATATTTGTTTATAACTCCAATGGATTTTCTGCTTTAAAAATTATCTCTCAGTCTAATCTCTCCATTTCAGAGCTCAGGAACCTGAGGTAGGGTTACAAATTTGCAGTCAGCCTGGATGACATAGTGAAATACTACCTTGAAGGGGGAAGGGGGCACCAAAGAGGGACAGAGGAACGGTTAGAGGGAATGGGAGAGGGAGAGAAAGAGAGCTCCAAATAAGGGAGTATCAGAGAAGCCTTACTTCAGTGACCACATTCTGAGGAGCAGTACTGTGCAAGGCCTCCACATCTGGAGGATTTTACTAAAAGAAAAGATGCTATGGCCTAACCAGTCCTGCCCCATGCCCATTCAAACATAAACTCATAGGGATAACACAAATTTGAAAACACTAAATGCAGCCCTAGCATAATCAGGAAAGTCGACTAACTGATAAATATTGGTTGTCAAAAATAAATGCAGAACTCTTTCTGAAGAAAGTCTAACACTCAACATGCTTACTAGGTGTACCCGGATCTATCAATAATCACTGCTGTGGCCTTGGTGAGGTTCATAAACTCATCTGAGTCACTCTGACAGCTTCATGTTCTTATTTTTCTTTGTGTTTAAAATCACCATGTTTACTGTTACTGATTTGTGAGGTCTGGAGAAATTACAAACACTCCATTTTCAGCAAACTAAAAGCACAGGCAGGTCTATGTCTACCACATTTTGTGTAACAGTGTTAAGAGACTACATTTTTATCGCAGTAACGCATCTTTGCTCTTTAGTTTCTGATCACTTTTCTCAATGTATGTGCTTAGGCACTAGCCTGAGAATTTTGCTGTTTCACATAGCAGGATGACAGGTCCTTCAACAACCTATAGCTATTTAACATAAAAAGTACTCCTTGGAATACTGAAGACAACATCAAGAAAAATATTCCCAGTTTCAAACCATGCAGTTTATATCACAATCTAAAAAGAACCTTCATTTTTAAAGTGGCTCCACTTTTACATTAATTCATGTTTCTAAAGATCCCCTTGTTATCAATGTTTCCATCTGTCTGCTGTGTGCACACCCGTGGATTCCCTGACGCTGCAGTTACAAGTCCCCATTGTGGGTGCTGGATCTAATCTCAGGGCCTCGGAAAGACCAGCTAGTGCTCTTTTTTCTTAAAGAGAACTTTTACACTTCTTTAAGACTTATTTATGTATTTCATATATATAGATCCTTTGTCTGCATGCACATCTGTACACCAGAAGAGGGTATCAGACAGTTGTGAGCTGCTATGTGGGTTCTGAGAGTTGAACTCAGAACCTTCGGAAGAGCAGTGAGTGCTCTTAACCACGAAGCTATCTCTCCAACCCCACATTAATTCATTTTTGTATGTACCAACCAACATGTTAAATCTAAAGCACAGAACCAGAACAGAGTAGTAAGTCCTTAGTTGACATTGGCAACAACACAACAAAACTGACAAAACCCCTTTGCTTACTTTCAAAAGGGGAAACTGACAATAAGTGTGTAATAGCAAAACAAAGTGTTCTATATGATATATAAAAATGGAATTAAAGGAATAGGTAGGCTTTATGTCTTACAAAGTTTTATCTCAAATTGAAACCTTGAAAAGATGTTTTTTGTTATTATAGTTGTTTTTGTTGGGAAACTATTTTAAAGAGTAGAAATTCTCACTGAAGGTAAAGAGAAATACAAACAAGAAAAGGGAAGACATTCAAAATTCAGGACTAGCTGGGTGTGGTGGTCTATGCCTTTTATCTCAGCAACTGGGAGGCAGATCTCTGAGAGTCTAAAGCCAGTTTGGTCTACACTGCTAGTTCCAATCCAGCCAAGGGCTGAAGCGATGACTCAATGGTTAAGGGCCTAGCTGCTCTTTCGGAGGTCCTGAGTTCCCAGCAACCACATGATGGCTCACAAACCATTTATAGTGAGATCTGATGCCCTCTGCTGACATAAGGCCATACATTCAGAGTATTCATACATAAAATAATTTTTTTTAAAAAAAGTATGTAACACTGGTTGCTAGTGTCATTGTGTAGATTGAAAGACTAGCAGTATGCGTGGCTCAGTAGCAGAATGTTTACCTAGTATTAGTGAGGTCCTGAGTTCAATTCCCAGTACTGTAACAATATTGCCAAGGTGACCAACACTGTTTTCTCCTAGTTCATCTAGCTGACAATTAAGGTAGAAAACAAACCACAGGAGAGCATGATATGAGGAGAAAAGGAATCCTCAATACAACGACAGCATTACACTAACAGCCATATTCATATCCCCAGCCCTCTCATTTTTTGAGAGAATTTTTCATGTAGTCTAGGCTGACCTGGAACCTGTTACAGGGCCAAGAATGACCTTGAACACTAAACTGCCTTCATGCCTTTACATGGAGGAGCATGCCACTATGCCCAGTTGTAACCTTGGGCATATTATTAAGAATTCATAGTATTAAGAATTGATTTTAAGGGGCTGCAGAGATGGCTCAGCGGTTAAGAACATTGATTGTTCTTCCAGAGGACCAAGGTTCAATTCCCAGCACCCACACGGCAGCTCATAACTGTCTATAACTCCACTTCCAGGAGATCCCATGGCCTTTCTGGCCTCTTCCAGCACCAGACACGCATGTAATACACAAACATGCAGTCAAACACACGTACAAATAATATAATAACTAGAATGAAAATATATTTTAAAAAACTGATTTTAAATACTAAAAATATTATTTTTGGCAAAAGCCTACCAATGAAATAATTTTACCTTATTTTAGCGTAAAGCAAAACTCAACACAAATGAACCAACTTCTCTCCACTAAATTCTGAGTACACCTTCTACAGATCTTAATTTCTAACAGTTATTGTTATGTTTTCCTCTTTAAGGTAAGGGAGAACCTGCACCAACGGTTTCCATTCTTAAAACTAGCACTTCCTACATTCTGAGAAGGATCCAGAAAGTGAGAAGTCTGACAGCTGCAGTTCTCCAAGAGCCCAGAGCATGGTGTGGACCGGTCAGTCCAACACTCACTTTCACTAAGGCAGGAGGACCAGCCTGTGCTACGATTCTATTCAAAGACAGGGGTGAGGTTAAATGCTTCTCCATGTCCAAAAGGGACAGCAGAAAACTGCTATACACTGAAAGCCAAAGGCAGAAATGTGTCAAAGGATAAGCTGGCTTCCATTTCCAGCACCCTGGAATAATATTTTAATAATATCTAATAATTTAATAATTATTAATTAATAATAATTTAATAATATTTAATAATTTAATAATGCAATAACATAATGCATTATTAAAAAATAACTTATGGCCAGGCATGGTAGTACACACTTATGGTTCCAGCCCTTGGGATAACTCCCAAGAGCAAGAGGATCGGGGGTTCAACCATATAGTGAGTTCTAGGCTAGCCTGAGCTACACGAGATAAAAACCGTCTTCCAGCAGGAGCTGGAGACATGGCTTAGCAGTTAGTACTGGTTACTTTTCCAGGGGATCAGAGTTTGGTCCCTAGCATTCCTGTTGGGCAGCTCACAACTACCTTTAACTCCAACTCCAAGGATCTGAAGTCTCTTCTGGCCTCCCTAGGCACCTGCATATACACAGCAGACACAAACATATATACATGAATTTAAAAAAAAAAAAGGACCCAAATTAAAATACCTTATATAGGTGACAGTGCATACCTTTAATCCAGCACTCTGAAGAGGCAGAGGCAAGTAGGTCTCTGAGTTTGAAGCCAGCCTGGTCTACAGATCATGTTCCAGGACAGCCAGGGCTACACAGA